CTGATAATTCTTACTAATGTCATTACTCGAATTTTTAATTACGGTGCGTGAAGTTCCAGCAGCTTGCATTAAGGCACGATGCCATGCAACACTAATTTTCTTTGCTATAAACCTTGCGGAGCCCGAGACCTTTCCAACGAATGCAAAATTGTCGAAATCGGTTCGTGCGTTCTGGAGTTATTTCGTCAGGAAGGACAACCCGACTTATTTTTATATATGAGCCGCTCAGTGCACACATCGACTAACTCCACTTTTTGAAAAAACTGAGATATTAGTGGGAAAGAACTTGGTATAATCATAACTTTTTATGATTATAATAATTTTCCAAAAGAATGAAAATTGCCACTTTGAAACGAAAATTTTTTTTGACCTCTGAATCCATAAGTCATTTATTTCAGAAGACATTTTGATTAACTCCATTCTGTAGTGTATATGTTCTTGTTGGGTTGGATTTCGGGTTTCAAATTCATGAATTACGAATAAGAACACAGAACTGTAGGGTGTAGTGGGTCTCAAAAAAAATTCATCTAGTTTTATAAAAGACATCGAAGACGTTACCAACTTTGAAGAAATAACATACTAAAATTCGTGTACCCGGCAAAACAAAAATATTAAAACTGCCTGAAGTTTATTGAAACTTGTTCAAAGTACGGAAATAAGAGCTAACTTAATTAAAAATAAATTTCTGGTCGGTGAAAATAGTTATTAATCTATTAACTCAAGATTTTGTTATTTTTGAGTCACGTGCAAAAAAAAATCGAGACATAATTTTACCAGATAGTTGATACAATATAATAAAAACATTTAAGAAAAAAGCGCCATTGTAGCTAAGCCGAATGCTTCACTAAGATTTTTTATCTATTTTTTATTTATTTAGAACAATAAATCAATAACAGAAAAGTAACCATCACAGGGTGTCCAGAAAATTCGCCTGAAATGCGCTGAATTTATAATAGAAAGGTCCAAACCCGATATACAATTTAAGTGTGACTGCAATGAAGATCCGAATTTTAAAAAAAAGTTTAAAGTTTAAAAAAAGTTGAAAACTTGATTAACTCCACAAGTCATATCAAAACTTTAACTTTAATGATAATTATTTTCTCACTATTAATAGTTATAAATCTTATATACCGTTACATGTAAGCTATATATGTATTTATACTTTCTAAAATATATTTTTCAATTTATATTATAACAGGAATTTTTAAAAGCAATATACATTACTTTATCGCTTTTCTCGACTTTCTGACTTTCGGAGTTAGTCGATGTGTGCACTGAACGGCTCATATCTATATATATATATAAAAAAGGATCGCTTAAGTAGCAACACTTATAACTCACGAACGGCTGAACCGATTTAGATGAAAATTAGCAGGGAGGTAGTTTAGAGCCAGGAGAAACATATGAAATACTTTTTATCCCGTTTTTCATTATAATTCAGAATTAATTATTTATAAACTATCCATGTAGTTTATTCAATCTATGATATTATCAATGATTTCATCCATGACATTTACCTTCGATTGTCAACTGTCATTGAAATTAACCACTACTATCTCATGTTAAATATAGGGAATGAATATTAGTTCTTGGTTATATATAAGGTGAAGTGAAGTTTAATTAATAATGCCGCGACCAAGACGATCGAATCTTTCCCAACAAAGCCGTAATGCAAGAAGTATACGAAATATTGCAAATGCAAAGACCGAAGAAGAACATTACATACATTTACATTTACATGTACATTTTGTCGAATAACTTATTCCCAGTTATAATTTCCCAGAATTTATCGAAGAATGGTTAGTAATATATGAAGGTACAGGGTTAAAAGTTCCACGACCAAAGTGTCAAAAACCAGTAAAGCTAAAGCATTGTTTAACAACATTATTTGAAAGTAAAGGGAAAAAGATGTATAACCAGCTATAACCTTGATTCTTATGACTTTGATATTGGGAGATAAACGGTCATCTTTGAAAATCCATAGTAAAAGTATTTTCTTCTGTTGGTACTTTTTTAGCATTAAAAATGTAATTATTTTGTAAAATACCTTTAAAATTAAAATAAGACATTAAACCTGTTTGCCATCTGGCCGTTCCAAGTTACTCCGCCCATAGGGTAAAAAGGTCGAGATAACAAATTTTTGAAAGACAGCAAAAAAGCACATTTTTAAAATAATGAAGTAGCTGCTAGTTTTACTGAACGTAGTCAAATAATTGTTCGTTTGAAATGTGTCATTTGTTGTGATAAAATTGGTTTGATTTTCATAATAAAATTTATATTTGCTATAAACAAAATCCAGAATCCAAAAGAATCGGAAAAGCTTAAAACGTAATCAATAAGTCGAAATACCAAAAAAGACTTGGATTGGATTATACCATGTATTCTATAGAAAGTGTATAAAACTTCCCGTTTGATTGTATTGACAAAATATAGACAATCTAATGGGGTTTATTGTTTTTATAATACCTCATTGTATATAGCATTCAAACAACACATCTTTCTTATACACTTAAAGTATTAATATTTTTGATTCTCTAGAAATTGTTTAGAATATACCTTACTTATCAAAACAACGTTTGCCGGGTCAGCTAGTATATATATATATATATATAGAATAGAAGATAATTAGGTTTTTTTGTTTGACGTTGAGACATGTCGTGATATGATATCAGCCAATCGTCGAAATAAAAGAAACAAATAAATACAAAATATTTATTTAAAATACACGTTTCGACACGGATTGTGTGTCATCATTCAGCAATTCTTTGTTAACAGTATCTAAAAAAAATTTTACAAAGATTATTTTAAAAACTAAACTTAATTTTAATTTAAAATAGTTAAAAAATATACATACCACACCAGGAAAAAATAACACACAAAAAAACACATTGTTTTATAAAATAATTACATATGCATTAAATATAAAATAAATATATAAACTAACAATATTAACTGCAACATGATTTTTAAAACTGAACTTTATGTAATGTAGTTTTGTACGCAACGACTGCAATGCCAACGAGAAACCACGTGACACCCAGAAGGGAAAAAAGTTGATTTTCAGGGAATGTTTTTGTCCTCACGGTTTAACATTCCCTGAAAATAAACTTTCTTCCCTCGTATATTTTTTAACAATTTTAAATTAAAATTAAGTTTATTTTTTAAAAAAATCTTTGTAAAATTTTTTTTAGATACTGTTAACAAAGAATTGCTAAATGATGACACACAATCCGTGTCGAAACGTATATTTTAAATAAATATTTTGTATTTATTTGTTTCTTTTATTTCGACGACTGGCTGAAAATCATATCAAGATATATATATATATATATATATATATATATATATATATATATTTCAATTCAATTTCAATTCAAAGACTATATATTTCAATATATAAAAGTATGTACATTGCATATTATAACATGGGTTTATTACCCGTAGATATTGTATCCTTCATTGGATTTTGTTTTGCAAACAATAATTAAAGTATATGTAAAACTTTCTGACACATCGTGTGGCAAAAAAGAGGAAAGAAACTTTTTCTCCCAAAAAAAAACCACAAAGCAATATTTATAATAATAGTTAATTATACAAATAAAAAGAAAAACAAAAATAAAAGATTTATTCTCATCCAAGTATCAATTACCGCTATGGGTCGATCAGTATATATTTTGGCATGGCGTGATTGCCATACCAAATATCGTCTCTTGTGTATTGGCCGAGGCCCGCGATGTTAATATTAGGATGATCCCCACATTTTAGATAAAAATTTCAGTGAGCTTTTTTATAAAGTCTAGTATGGTCGGTAAGTCAGTCTGTTTATGTATTTTGAAGAGTAGTAATGTCTAGTCAGTGGGTCCCTTATTTTGTTGAGTACGAGTCGTAGTGTCTTATTTTGTAATGTCTGTAGTTTTCGTAAGTTAGTCTTAGTCGTCGCGTTCCATGCCGGAGCGGCGTATGTCAGTATCGGTCTTATTAGTGTCAAGTAAAGTGTTCGCTTGTTCTTCACGCTTAGCGGGCTGTTGTGGTTCAAGAGAGGTCTCAGTAGATTTAACATCCCGTAAGCTTGTCCGATTTTTGTATTAACATGTTTTGTGAAGCTGAGTCTATGGTCCAGGGTCACACCAAAATATTTGACATCCTTGGACCACTCAACTTCACAGTCCAATACTTTAATTTTGTCCAAGTCAGTCAGTCTAGTCGTGGCATTTCGGCTCTTTGTGAAAAGAATAGCCTCCGTCTTTTGCGGATTGAATTTAATTTGCCATTTGTCAGTATATTCAGTTAGTTTGTCTATGTGTGTCTGTATCTTTGTAGTCAGTAGCGTCGGTGAGCGTGATGATTTGTATATGGCAGTGTCGTCAGCAAACGTCAGTAACGTTGTGTCGGCGTCAGTGGGTATGTCGTGAATGTAGACGTTAAACAGTGACGGTCCCAGAATCGAGCCCTGCGGTACTCCCGCCGTCACTTGTTTAACCGTCGAAAGTCCGTTGTCTACTTGTACAGTGAAGTTGCGGTCTGAGAGGTAAGAGTGTAACGTTCTCGTTATGTACGGTGGAAAGTTTAGTTGGATAAGTTTATGAATAAGTCCGTCCATCCAGATGGTGTCAAACGCCTTCTCAAAATCGAGTAACACCAGTCCGGTATGGTTTCGTCTGTTGAAATTGAGAACTGTATTTTCTATGAGTTTTGTCAGTGGGTGTAGTATGGAGTGTCGTTCTTTGAAGCCGTATTGTGTGTCAGGTATGATTTTGTTGTGTCTTATGTGTTTGTTAAGTCTTTTGAGTAGTACCTTTTCGGCTACTTTACTCATTGTGTTAAGGAGGCTGATCGGTCTGTAGTTCTGTGGTATGTCTGGCTGTTTCCTTGGCTACACTATTGGAAATTTATATATATATATATATATATATATATATATATATATATAATCGCAAATTTCTCAATCATGATACTGCTAACTATGATCTCGTAAAAATAAGTACATACTTAAAACTTACCAGCATTAGCAGCCTGCGTAAAATAATGTAGAGCCCGTTGATGATCCAACCGAACACCTCTGCCTCCTTGATAATGAAGTTGACCAAGACCTACCTAAAAAAATGTTATATAGAATAAGATTCTCGATTTGACAGGATAAATTCATAAACATATTTTATAATAAAATAACAGCGCACGTAGTGCTATGGTTTCCCACTGTAGCAAAGTTCATTAATTGTGTTTTGTATGCATGAAGGTTATTAATCGTTATCTGTCATTAGGTCTAATTATTACTCAATACATAATCTTTTTCATCTAACTCATATTAAGGGTTGACATAATTCGTTAAAGTTAAACATACTACATATTTACAATAATGTTTACTTTTTATACTACAAGTTTTATACTACAAGTCACAGTGAGAAATTTTGCGGAAACTATAGTACTATTCAGAGCAATTTCGGAAAACTTGCATATAATATGTGTTAATGCCTAAGGTTCAACCCTGTTGTTTGGAATTATTTAATACTCTCCATAGCCATTATAAAATTTAATCCCTCTATTACAATTTATATTTGCAAGTATACGGTGACCCTTCATTGTCAGACATAACCTATCATTAAACTGTCCGATAATCATTCATTTTTTTCCTCCCAAGAAATTTCCTTGAACTCGATTCAACCAAATCATCAATGTAATGGGCAGTCGCTTGCACCCAAAAACCGACCAATCAGAAATATAATATAAACTTCAACTAACAATAAGTAAGATCAGTAATATTTCAAACATCATTTAAAATAACATTATAACATTATCGAACACACTCTAACAACGTATTATTTATCTAAATGTACAACATTTTAAACTTTCGGAATTTAGTTAAATTACCGAATATAATGAAACTAACTTTTATTTTAGTAATATATTTTATAGATTCAATAAAAGTCAGTCAGTAAAAGTCAGTATATATATAACTGACAGTCTATAATCATTTGGAAAAGAAAACCCATAAATCATTTTTATTTATCACGCCGCTTACTTCATTTTGGCGCGACCTGCCAAGCTCCCACAAAACTATCCATCATCTTTTAATAGGTCTAATACGGCCACTATCTAATTATATCTCGTCCTTCGAAATTATCCGCGAAAAGTACTTATACCATTTTAACAATAAGTTCGTCAAGCAACTCGGTGGATCACACGCTCTTTCTATAATTCATGTTATGAACTAATCGGTTAAAACAAAGTTGTTCAAAAAGAACCGAATAATCTAATCAGTGTAAACAAGGTTTATCCATACAAACGAATAAAATTTCTAAGAAATATTAAAACATAAATATTGACTGGCATTACTTATATTTGCAAAGTCAAGATATGGAAACAATACATGTATTAATTTATAGGATACTATTAATAGAAGAAGTGCAATAACAAGTAGGGGATAAGAAAACATTCGAATCAATACATTTTGCTAATAATAAATATGGGTTACAAATCAATATATAAACTAGTTGGTATTGGCATTTTGCCTTGAGGCAAGTTACATGAACTTCCCGATGTGTAAATAATCGATTTAAAAAATAAAAAATAAATTAATTTATTAGTGATTAAAACTCTTCCGAGTGGATTTATTACACATAATTGAAAGCGAACGAACACATTAACTCTGAGTATTTTCTAAAAGCAAATTTTCAAAAATCAATAATTTTTTAATCGAACCAGTTTCCGTAGGGCTTTATTGGTTTAGTATGTTCATTAAGACCAATTACTCTATCGTTATACCAAGTAAATCGTCTAATTTTAATTTTAACAAACGTCAAAAAAACTACTCATTTCTCAAACTTTGATGAATTTTTAAAATTAAACTACTTGTCGTAAGGCCGTAATATATATTTCAGTAAGTTCTATAAGACAAAATATATAGCCAAATAAAGTTCCATAAAAATCGGCTTAATTTTTTTTTCAACAGTTAATTACAAGAAAACGGCTCGATAGATTTTCACCTAAAACTAATCAGTATCATTCCCAAATAATATCTGCATCGAGCAAACGTCGATGAAAGTTATAATTTTGACAAACGCCCAAAAAAACGACACTATTTTTTGCAAACCTTGACGAATTTTTAAAATTAAACGACTTGTCGTAGGATCGTGATATTTTAGTATGATCTATAAGACTATGATTTCTACCAACAAAAAAAATTCATGAAAATCGTCGAAAAATTTTTTTTTAACACTTTATTACAAAAACGGCCTGGCAGATCTTTACCAAAAACTAATCAGGTCGATTCCCAACCAATATGTTTCGAACAGTTTTTGAATTTTCAAAATCGATTCAGAATTGCGGGCTAAAACGTGGACAAAATTTTTTCACTTTTCTGCAATTTACAAAGAAACGGCTTGGCCGATCGTCGCACAAACGACGCTAGTCTTCATCGAGATACATCGAATGGCTTTTAAATTTTTGAAATCGGTCAAGCCGTTTTTGAGAAAACGCCGATTTACGGCAAAAAATCTGTTCACACACATACACATACACACACACATACTTTTTCCAAATTTGGTCTCATTCGATTCAGAATGGCTTGAAACGTCGAGAAAACATAAAATTAGCGAATCGGATTTTTTTATGAAAACATAAACTTCTCCTTTGGGAAGTTAATAATAATTTTTATAATAATGTGATTATATGTGCACTTGAATAATATGCAAAACTAAATTTTTAATATCAGAATAGAATATAATTCAGGATTATCAAATCGATGAAGAACGTATTTCACAGCTTTTATTTATTAACTTCCCGTAGGGTAAGTTATTGTAATGGGCCGAACATCGAAATTGAAAATTTTTACATTTCTCGACATGTTGAAGGTTTCTGAACATTTTGGCATACCTTAGAAAAAATGAATGTGTGTGTGTGTGTTTTTTTTGTCTTCTGTCTGGGTATGTCGTACTCGATACCGCCCTGGTATAATACCTACTAAAACCTCCGCTTTGCCCTTGCCTCTGGTCCCCACGGAAACCGCCGTTAGGCAATATGTGTGTGTGTGTGTTTGTGTATGTATGTATGGACACAATTTTTTGTCCACGTTTTTGGGCGCACGGATCAACCGATTTGAATGGTTCAAAAAACATTCGATTCCTATTGATAGGGAGATGTGCTGATTAGTTTTTGGCAAAGGCAGGTCCAGCAGTTTCGGAGATAAAGAGCAAAGAGTGCAGAAAATAGAAATCAAGTTTTTGAAAGAATGGAGCATCCGATTTGAATGATCTAAAAAACATTCAATTAGTAATGATTGAAAGAAGTGGTTATTAGTTTTTGGAGAAGGCAGGCCTAGCCATTTCGGAGATACAGATCTAAATGTGCAAAAAATTGCAGTTTTTGAGAGAACTAAGTGTCTGATTTGAATGATTCAAAAAACTTTCTGCTTGTTTTAACAAAATAATTGATTTTGAAAAAAAAAATTTGTTTTTTTTTCATTTTTTTTGTTCAAAAATATTTTTTTTTGTATATCGAAAATAATTCAGATTTTGATCGTAATTCTGACAAAAGTTCTAATGTACTTTAAACAAATATGTTTAGCTTTGCAATTCAGTTTATATAATTATTATAAATATTAGACAATGTTACAATATTTATAATAATCTATTTGAAAACATTTAATATTCCTCGATCATTTCATTACGGTACGGGAAGTTCCAGAGATTTGCCTTAAGGCACGATGCTATACACCCTACTAGTTTATTTTCTAGCGGGTACGGATAAGATGTATAGGTATTAACTACCTAACCCAATAAATTTTTAAAGTGTCATATAAATAAACATGCAAAATTTTGAAATAATTTCAAAAACTACAAAATTTTAAATAGAAATGGTTATACAAAATTGTTTTTATTTATCTATATATTTCCAACTAAAAATGAAATAAGTTTACCTGAGCTTGTATATCACCCTTCTCTGCTAACAACTGATAGTAATCAATAAGATCATGCTCCAATATGCTAGTACCAGGACTATCTAATTCATCTAACAGTCTGATTCTTTGAACTGCTGCACCACCAGATAATGATACATCGCCTGCCACTGTGGAAGTTCATATGCAAATTAGTACACAAATTTATCACTGATAATATGAAAATTCACACACACAATTATTCTGTAAAAATAGACCAGGTACTAGAAACTGTGAAAATGTTATGTATTTGCTGAGTGATCACAGAAAAAAATTCACAGCAAAAAATAAATTATCAGTTATCGAGGTACCCAAAGCAAAATTTGACAGTAGTGACTGTCGGCCCGTCTGAATTTTAGTTTTGAAGCCGTATGCTTCACACGATGCGATTTTAAAGCTAGATTTTAAGCGGTGGTTAATCAGTACCGTGCGACATAATCTCGAAATTCAACACAAATAATTAACAACAATACTTTTATTTTACCTTTTCTGTTTGATACGGGCCATAGAAAATAACATTAATTTTAATAAAAACAATTCAATAAAATTAATATAGTAAAGAGATAATTAATATAATAATTTAAAAAAAAACTGGAAAGTTATATAATTTATTAAAATTTTCATAAATCTGAATTTATATTAATAATTGAAATTTTATTATTAAAAATAAATAAAATCATTTTTATTATAATGAATACAAATAAAAAATAATATTGTAAAAATTTAATTATTGTTTTAGTAAAATTTATAAATATATATTTTATTTTTAATTGTTAATTAATTTTAAATATTTTTTTGTGAATTTTAGAAATATAATATTCAATAATATTTCTCCAATAAATTAAATAATTAAAATCAAATCAATCAATTAGAATCAAAATTAGCATTCCGAAATATTCCATTGGAAATCAAAGAACTTATTCAAAAAAAAAGACGTGCTAGAGCTAAATAGCAACAAAATCATAGACCTGACGATAAAAATACATACAATAAACTTTGCAGAGAACTTAAAAGCAAACTTAGGCAAGTCAAAAATGAAAATTTTGAAAATACATTAATAATATATCCAGATCAGATAACTCATATCACATTTACCCTGAGAGAGGGTACTTGTCCTCCAATTTATTTAAATAACGTCCAGATTCCGAAACAGAACACGGTGAATATCTTGGTCTCCATTTAGGCAGCAGACTTACTTGGAAAAGCCACATAAAAACAAAAAAGCAGCAAATAATGATCAAAATGAAAGAATTTGACTGAATACTGCGTAAAAAGTCTAAGCTCTCTGTTGAAAATAAGTTTCTGCTATATAAATCAATCATTAAGCCAATCTGGACCTACGGAATTGGGCTCTGGGGATGTGCTTACAAATCAAATATAGCTATAATGCAGAGAACTCAGTCAAAAATTTTACGTACAATTCTTAATTATCCGTGGTACGTAACAAATGAAACCATTCACAGCGACCTCAACATGAAAACGGTGCATTTAACGTTCAAAGAATTCGAGTAAAAATACAAACGCAAACTGGACTCACATTCGAACCCATCAATAGTTGACGTTACAAAACCTTATGGCATAATAAGATCGAAACAACAATTGCCTTTAGACTTAGTCTTAGATTAGGTCTAATATAATATTATCATAGTAATTGTTAAACTGAGAAGATCTCATTGAAGCTCTTCTTAGGCATCGCTCTTAAATATTGTCATTTTAGCTCATAGGAATCTTTATGTATTTCTGATTGCTAAATAAAACGAGTTAAAAAAAAAGTTTGACAGCAGTGCCGTTACGTGATGAACCATGTGACAAAATACAGCTCCTGATTGGTCCGGGCGGGCAAATTCATATTGAAAAATAGCACACGTTTGTGCAAATTTTGTATAAGCTCAGTAGTATTATTTACAATTATACACAAAATCCAGAATCCAAAAAGAATCTGAAAAACTTGGAACGTAATCAATAAGTCGAAAAACCAAAAAAGGTTTGGATTGGATTATACCATGTTTTCTATAGAAAGTGTATAATATACCTTAGAATATACCTTACTTAGCAATACAACGTTTGACATGTCAGCAAGTTGTTAATAATAATGTAAGCTTAAATGATGCTATGGGGGGCAGCGTTTCGGAAGCTGTCCCCAAACCGAAGGTAGACCTTTAATTAATGTGATGTAATGTGATTAGTGTGATAGGTGAATTGGGTCCGATGTATGGACAGGTTATGGACACTGGGTACACCGCGGGTTACAGATAAGTCTAGAATAAGTTGCATGTTAAAATAAGAAATGTTATAATTATGTATAAATAAATATAGGTTATTTAAGTCACGAACAAACGCCTTTTCAATAGTAGTATTTAAACTAAACAGTTTCTTGCAGGATCGTCACGGTAATGTTGTAGAAAGACTGCGAATGTATAAACAATAACAAATTAGAATATGATCGAAAGAAATAAGTAACGAATAAAAGGAATTCCTAACAAATGATGGAAGTGCCGACAAATGCTTTTCGTTGGTTTAACGATCAAATAATTGAAAAGTATTAATTTGTTTTAGTAATCATTTGATCCAGTATCGACGGCATAGCTACGATTTCGGTAATTGCGGTAATTTTTTATTGTTTAGTACATTCGCGATTAAGTTTCGTCGTTTTCTTTTTTTGATTTTGTTATGTATTAATTTTGTGTTTTGATTTTTCGCGGTGATTCAGCATTTCTTGATTACGCGTTAGTATTAAATTGGTATTTATGAAATGATTTGTTGAACTCTTGGTTATCATAGTTGGGTGTACAGAAGATTGTTGGAACACTGAAAATGATGAAAATACAGAACACGTTGAAATAATGTTTAGTGGTGTATATAAATTAAAATGTTGTTGTGGGATTAAAAGGTCTATGTATTTTGGGCTATTGTAAACGTAATTTGCAAAATTGGTTGGCGCGAAAATGAATAATCAAGTAATTCAAGTAATTATTAGAATTTTGATTTGTTGATTTAAAAACTGATTTAATTGGCAGAATTTATAGATTGTTTCATGATAATTGTGAAATGCTGGATCTATTTGCTGTATTGGTATTTTTGTTAGTTAACGTTTTTGTTCAGTCACGCGGGGTTGTTTTTTTTATTTCGGTTTTCGCGAAAGGCTTTTGTTCGTGTATTAAACAATATTAATTAGATACGTTTTTCCTAAGCTAATTATAATCACCAATATTTTAAATTAAGACTATTAGAATAGAAATTTCGAATTCAAAATCATTACAGTTAATGTTATTCTATAGAAAAATGTTAATCTATACAGATTTAAATTTTTATTATGAATATTGTTAGGATTTAGTGTATTCAGTTATTCATAATCATTTGCGTAAACACTAATACAGAAATTAATTTGTTTTTCGGTAAATTTATGATAATTGACAGATACATGTTAAGTTTTGTTACATAGATATCGTTATTGTGAGTAGGGTTATTTTTCATATATAGTCGCAAGTATCTGCAAGTTGTTTTAAAATCTCATATTGCAAGGGTAAGAAATAGTCGAAGTTATTTTCCCTTCAAATTCGATTTCAAATCACAGACATTTAAGTAACGCAGCGGGATAATTTTTATTCCTTTTTTTTGTAAACGTTTCATCCCTACGTTTTTAAGACGCCACGACGCGTGTGGCGAGTATATGTGAAATTTAGAATGTTCAGACGTTGGACGGTCGGATGTTCTCGTATTGTAAACTGCTGGTCTCCATATGTCAATGCACGACTGAAAGCTTTTTTATAGGTGTTAAAAGTTTAGGTTGCCTAGATAGATGTAAGAGTAACATGTTAAATATTTTAAAATTATGAAAGATTTCTTTATATATATTTTTTTGTTTAGTGAAAGCATGTGGGTGTTTGTAAAATACGAGCGAATTTCTGTTTGAGTTTAGTTTTGTTTGCGCTATTGCGTTACAGTATTTTTATTATGATTTGTTTTATCTCAAAATTTAGAGCAGATTTGAGAATTACGGAGTTACTCGCCTCCGTGCATATGAGGTGCCAAATTTTATTTGGGAATGCGTCGGAAAACAACTGCTTACACAGATTTGAATCGTGGCAAATTTTTTTAGGCAGATCACCACCGCCCGAATCGCTCGTATATAATTAGGTGCGAAAACTCTTGGTGACACCGATTTCCGATTTGCCTTTTTTTTACTTTTTTGCTAGATCTCCGAAACCGCTAGACCTGCCTCCCCAAAAGTTTAATCAGTTTTTCATCTGTCAATACAAGTAAAATCTTTTTTGAATTATTAAAATCGGACGCTCCGTTCGCTTAAAAACTGAGGTACCGTTTTTGGAACTTTTTGCCCCGTATCTTCGGAACGGCTAGACCTGCCGTTGCCAAAAACTAATCAGGACGTCTCTCCTTATAATTATATCAAAAAGAATCTTACAGAAATTATAAAACATTTGCAAAACGAATCGAGCATTGAATTGAAAAAAAAAAAACAATTAGTAAATAATCTAACTATTTGACCTACCAGTTATTCGATAGCCCGACATTTTTGTTTTACTTCTTACTTTACTTTCACTTTTGCAACCTATCTCTTTTGTAAATCCAAGCGACTTATGCATTCTCCTCTTTCGCTTATTTAACTTCTTGCATCTTGTACCTCCTCCCGTCTTATACATGCATCCTTATTTGTTTCTTTGACGCATTCGTTTAGCAACGTACCCGACTACAATATTTGCTGATTTCCGATAGTTCTCTTCCATTTAATCCGTTTCATTTTTACAATTATTTCACTATCGTTTTTTTGTTTCCATTTTTCTTAACTAAATCTGATAAATTATAATTAATCTGCAGTTACTAATTTCTTATTACCCTAATTCGGTATTTATCTTGTTATCTATACTTAAATAAACATGTGACTGCCGTCTTGTTGCGCTAATGGATAATTGCAAAATAACTTAACCGGTTGAATGAAATGGACAAGAAACCTAACATTTTTAAACTGAAGAAAATAAAATTTATTTGATGATTTTCCTAACCATCCTTTCTACCGCGAAAACTCCAACAATAATTTAAAAAAAATAATAACAAAAAAGCATCAAAATATTTTTTAAAAGTAACAACCATAAAAAACTATCAAATATAAAAA